AGATACCAGTTGACCTCAAGATCAAATTGATGAAACCTGGACCCGACCAGATAACAGTTCGAGTTGCTGAAGCCTAGACCCGACCAGACACCAATTAACCTCAAGATCAAATGGCTGAAACCTAGACCCGACCAGATAACAGTTTGAGTTGCTGAAACCTGGACCCGACCAGATAACGGTTCGAGTTACTACGAAACCTGAACCCTAGCAGATAATAGTTTAACTTCTTCACATCACTAACAAAACTCCTCTTCCCCGGTAAAGTTTTCCACTATCCCTAGTGAGTTGCTGCAAAGCCTGGAAGCCGACCATATAACAGTTAACTTCTTTATCCCCAACAAGTTGTTAACTTCCATTCTCTCCAATCAAGAGTATAACTCCCTAGTAGAGCAACGAACAACTAAAACTCCTGAACTCTTTTCCCCAAGCAGAAATCAACACTCTCCACAGAGTTTCCCTCAAGCAAAATCAATGTCCCCCAGCGGATTTCTCCTCAAACAATAAAACAGGAATCCCAAGTGGAAACATTGTAAACAAGGTTTGAAGATGGGCATACTCTTCATCCCAAACACCATTCCAGGATTTAACTTCCCAAATCTCCCCAGCACTTGTCAAGGATTTATTTTCCCACGCAAAGATACATTTCAACAAATGTTTCACATTCATACATTATAATACATACATGATAAATGCATACAACATAATCTCATTTATTTTGAGAACATCATTACACAATGAGTGTCATGCATCATGACATTGCATACAACTAATTATTTACCTTTTCAGGAAAGATCAACAAACAAATATTATCATCAATTTTCAACAGGTTCCAGATTAATACTTGAAACAAGACAGAACAACTATTTGTGAACAACTGATTATAGATTAATACCTGAAACAAGACAGAACAACTATCTACATGAGCAAATTGAAGATTAACTCCTGAAACAAGACGGGGAAACTATCTTTCTTTCTCTAAGGTCATAGATTAATTCCGGAAACAAGCTAGGGCAACTATCTCTACGACCAACAAAAAGCAGGTTTCAGATTAATACCTGAAACAAGACAGGACAACTATATGAGAACAACTGATTGTAGATTAATACCTGAAATAAGACATGACAACTATCTACATGAGTAGATTGAAGATTAACTCCAGAAACAAGACGGGGAAACTATCTTTCTTTCTCTAAGGTCATAGATTAATTCCTGAAACCAGCCAGGGCAACTATCTCTACGACCAACAAAAAGCAGGTTCTGGATTAATACCTGAAACAAGACAGGACAATTATATGTGAACAACTGATTGTAGATTAATACTTGAAACAAGACAGGACAACTATCTACATGAGCAGATTGAAGATTAACTCCTGAAACAAGACGGGGAAACTATCTTTCTTTCTCTAAGGTCAGAGATTAATTCCTAAAACAAGCCAGTGCAATTATCTCTATGACCAACAAAAATCAGGTTCCAGATTAATACCTGAAACAAGACAGGACAACTATATGAGAACAACTGATTGTAGATTAATACCTAAAACAAGACATGACAACTATCTATATGAGCAGATTGAAGATTAACTCCCGAAACAAGACGAGGAAACTATTTTTATTTCTGTTTGGTCAGATAAAGATCAATTCCCGAAATAGGACGGGGTGACTATCTTTATCACCAATGGTATGAATACCCCTAACAAGACGGGTTTATCAATAAATTGTTTGTAGATAAATTCCCTAAACAGGATGGGGCAACTATCTACATGACAAACGTTTCCTTCAAGACTTCTGCTGGTTCAATTTAAATCGACTAATTATTTATTCTGATTCTGTTCTAGTAGACATTTTCTCTGGTTCAGTCAAATCGATCCTAAGATTTTTCTGATTCTTATCCAGATAGAAACAAATACGGACATCTATTGTTTCAGCATAAATCGACCGAAGATTTACCCTGATACTTCTTCCAATCTCCATCAACAATCCTTTGGATGGCATCTATGAGCCCATCTCCAACGATTCTCAACCACTTCTGGATGGCACCTATAAGCCCATCTCCGATAATATTCTGTCACTCTATAAATGGAATCTTTAAGCCCATTCTCGATACAATCAACACATCATCGAGTGCAAATTTCTGGGCACTCTAGTGTTCAATCATCTTCCACCTCCAAGTCACGAATGACGGACCCCACAATCTAACTTTCCAGGTTTAAGAAGATTGAACAGGGGCAATTGTTGTACCCTAAAATTTACCCTCTAATTTCATCAAGCCATTCAAAATATGAAATTTGATCATAAAAACAAAATCAAGAAGGTCAAAAATCAAAATTTGCAAGACTTGGAAATTTTTCTAAGTATTTTCTATACATGAGTAATTTCATTACCTCATGACATCTTTTTTCATTATAATTCAAGGTGTTACAAATAATTCAAGTTATTACAAGGTTGCATTTTTGCAAGATTACAAACCCTAAGCTTTGTCTTGTTTGAATTTTTCCCTTTGACTCAATGTCCAAACTTTGCCACTATGTTGTCCACAAAACAAACTTGTGTCATGCTACAAACAATGTTGTCCAAACTACTGCTGAACAAAGCCCTATATGCTGCCAAGTCCAAGCCTGTTGTACTGTCCACATAACAGCCCAAAACCATGTCAAAAATAATCTATTGTACTACTATGAAACAACCCTGCACAAAGCTGCCACAACACTCCAAAACTATTGCAAAAACATCCATGTTATGCTACTACCAGCCCAGTCTAAGCATGCATTATCTCAGTCCCATGTCTGCACCAAATTTCCATATGAGAGATGAATCTAAAATACAATGATATAACATACCCAAACTGTTCAAAAACTTATTTTTTTCCCTCCTAAATCTCAGTTAAATTTCATCTACAGATAAACTGTCTTGATAACACACAAAGGGTTGGCTTTGAGAGAGAAAAAGAGAGAACAGAAAAAACAACATTCTTTGTAAACTCTGCTCATTTCACAAAAGACCCTTGCTCATACTCATCTTTATTCTCAGTCACAAAAATAGAACCTCAATCCATTATTCCATCTTACACACTCTCCCATAAATCAACCACCCAAACACTTCACATCACATAAAGATTTTTCAAACATAAAAATAGTTTCTTTGGTGCCATTATCTTCCCCTTCCAAACATAAAAACAGTTTATGTGGTGCCATTATCTTCCCCTTCTAAACACAAAAATAGTAATGTACAACTTGATTGGGTTGGTGTGGTTCAAACATCTTGGAACAACTTCCTGGAAGTTCATTAAGGCCCTCATAGATTTTTGAAAAGTATTCAGACTCAAAACACTAAGTGCATTCTCAAGGTAAGTCTTCTTGACTTTGCATTTTTTATACATCACTAATGATTTATTCTTGAAGATAAAATATAGTAATCATTGCCCATTTGAGCTAACCATTTGCTTGCTATTCATTTTTTTATCAACCATATACTGTGAATTGACCTGTATACACAATAGAATGATGATAAAGGCGAAAAACTGTAGGATGAGTTGACACATACCCACATGAGTCGACTCATTCTAGTGATAAAACAGGGTATGAGTCGACGCATGGCCTTATGCATCAACTCATACTATTATCCATGCCCCAAAACAGAAGGATGAAAGGTGCATGAGTCGACACCACATGCGTATGTGTCAACACAAACAGGTGCATGAGTCGACACATCCCTTTATGCATCGACTCATACTGAGTTGATTTTGTTTTATAGGAGCAAGAAGAGTTATGTGTCGATGCATAGCAGCATGTGTCGACACATAATACTTCAAAATAAAAATTTTCTTTCTTTTTACATTGTCTTTACATTTTTCACAGATTTTCTTCATTGTTGTCCATTTATTCGATATGGTTGTAATGATTAAAGCTTCTACTTCATCCCCATTTGTAAATTGTACCCCAATCCCCCTAATGATGTAATAGCGTAGGATTTTAATTTCGGCAAATTTATCATTTTTCATATAAATTGTTAGTAATTAGTGTGTGTATGGCAATATAAAATCAACCGCTAGAAAACCCTAATTTGAAAGACAAAAATTCAAGCAATCAAACGCACATCACATACGCGCACCTTTAAGGTAATCTCGCTTGTTACCTCAGAAAATAGTCATGTCCCTCGAATATGGGTGTTTTAGAAAAGACCCTCGATAAAAAAGATCTTAGTCCCTCGATGTCCCTTGATGTTTCCTTCGGTAAACGATCTAGTCCCTTACGAAAATTGCTAAAGAGTCTCATAAGTTGACTTCTATGACTATACGATTGACCTGCGCTTGTCCCTTCACATCTAATGATGGGGCTTCTTACCAATCAATGGTAAGATAGTAATATCTAAAGGAGGAGGAAAAGAACAAAGACCTTTTGAGTAGGTAGGATGCTCGTAGTTGCTTGCTTACCAAACTAAAAAACCATTTTCACACTCACACTTTCAAAACATCTTCAAAAGAAAACATCTCTTTGAACTATTTTCAAAACCAACACTTTGTATGCATTCTTATAGAGACGAGAAATCATTGCAAAGTTTGCCGAAACACATCTCAAACAAAGCATTTTCAAAGTGATCAAGCAACTAAGAGCCCGTAGATAAATACGGATGAAAATGGTGCTAATACCTTCCCTTTTCATAACCTACCCCCGAACTCAAGAAAAATATCTCGAAAGGTCTTTCCTGTTCTTTCCACCCTTTCCTTTATTGGATAAAAGAAAAGTCGGTGACGACTCTTGCTATCCGAAAAATTTGCGATAAAACACAAAACACCCAAGTCAGTTCTCCCACCGTATTACATCCGGGTTCACAAAAACTGTATGAATTAGGCTTCAAGATAGGCCCAACGAAATTCCAATATCTCTTCCAATTTTCAGCATTGTGTTATATCATACATCAACTTGAATTAAAAAAAGTATAACAAAATTAAAAAAAAAAGAAATTAAAATGGAAAAGAAATGTAATTAGGGTTCAAGTTTGTGTATATTAAACTTCATCGTGTAAAACCAATCACTCTCTTCTTCCTCAGCACAACGACTCACTTCCCTGATGATTCTTCCTTAGCGCCGCTGTCATCTTTCGATGCCTACCGCCATCACCTAATCTCTGTTCCACATTATTCTTCTATTCATCTCCATTTCTCCTTTGCTTCATCTCTGTCGTTCTCCTCTCTTGTCAACATAGAGGCGTCTTCAACTCAACCTCCCTCTTTTCGTCCTCTCATCAGCTCCAACTCCTTATATCTCACACTTCGATTAACCTCTTATGCGCGAACAACTCAAAATCGAAACGAAGCCAGGACCTAGATCTAATTACGTATGCGAAGGAAAGTCGAATATGAAGAACGAACGAAACGTATAAAGAAGGGATAGAGATTGAGGTTTACCTCCCGAAGTACCTTCGGTGATTCATCAAATTGAAGAATGGTGTCGAAAAGATTATGAACTTTCAGGTATTTCACTCTTTTCGTCTTCTTCCGATAACCTCTTGCTTCATTGTTTTTCTCTTTGTTCAACTCTGCTCTCCTACTTCTCTTATGCATTAGTTTCCATTGCAAAGACGGTGATGATATCGTTGTTTGTTGTGACGATGTGATGAAGTTGATGATGTTGAATATGCGACAAAGTTCCAAGAATCTCTTTAAGTAGACGATGAACCAGAGAGGATTGTTAAAGGTTGAGAATTGAAGGTTGAAGTTACGTGGAGGTTGAAGATAGATGAGCAGTTGCTGAGAATTTCAGAGGATAAGAGGTTGGAGATCAGAGAGATTTTCATATATTTCTTTGGTTGTGATTCCTCTGTATGCTTTTTCCTGAGAGTTTTTCTATTCTCTTATCGATTTTTTTCAGCAGAATGAATCCCTTCTCCTTTCTATTATATTCTGTTATGTTTTTCTGTTATAGATCTCTTCTAGAAGTTTGTTAGAAGTAATTAGGAGGTTAGAGCTGAGCTGGAATTCAGTTAGATGTTAGTTAGAGGGTTGTTATGTTAGGTTTTCTGTTAACTTTCTGTTTTCAGTTAGTCGGTTAGGTTCAGTTGGCAGATTTTCAGTTAAAAATGTTAGTTGTTATTTCCTGATTTTCTCTTCTGTTTTGTTTTTACTCTAAATTTCGCTTGGATTGGGTTGTATAAGAATGTGCTAATCATTCTTCTTTTTATGGTACAACATAGTCACGATCCGACTATATCAAGAATCCAGCTTGATCGCCTGCTTCAGATGAGATCGCATGACCACTTTTGGATCTTTTACTGAACCAAAAATGTTGCCTTACTTGTTGTAATATGCATGTTTAATTGATGGGATGTCAAACGAATGTGCAAGGTTCATCATTTGGCTTGCTTTGACACTCGATGTAAGGTGAATACGGATCCGTATTCGAATGGTAAGTGACCATTTCTTCATGATATTGTATGCTCTGAATTCCGGCTTGATCTTTTTGAGTTCACTTGAAAATATGGCATGAATCTTGCTAAGATTTTGATCTATGTACCTATCTTGAAGCATGACAGTTTGTATGTCCCTTACAGGTCAATCTGCAGGTTTTCACAGTATCACTGTTTAGTGTGAATCAAGGCAGTTTCAGATTGGTTTGAAGCAAGTTCCAGTTATTAAGAGCCATGGAGTCACTCTTGGAAAATGGTGAAGATGAAACAACTTGGAGAATTAGAATGAGATAGGACTTTTAGAGATAGTATGTTGAGTTGTAGAATTTCCTTGTAATTAGAATGATGTAGTAGTTTATGTACTGGATGGGATTTATTGAATTGTCTGTAAGTTGAATGAAACATTGCTTTGGCGCATGGATTTTGGATTATAATAGGTTTAGAAATTTGGTTTGTGTACTTTTGTGTTTTTTTTCCTTTTGTGTAACATTCTTGTACCTTGGTAAAGAATAATAGATGAAATCATTTGACTGTGTAGTTTGTTAATGAACCATGATGAGTTTTTTTGCCTTGGTAACTTGAACTAATGATAAACCAAATGAATGAACCTGAACTTGATGATAATACTGACAAATGAATGAATCTGGGATGAAATTTAAAAGAATCTAATATGAGTTAATGAACTTGAACAAACCATGTCTTGATGAAATCAGCCTCTTAATACTTGCTTAGACTTTGTCTTGAACATTGTATTCCAAATAATCCACATAAACCAACCAAATTTATATGAACCCAATCTCGACAACTTTTAACAAAAATGGAATCATTCAAAATGAATACTTTAAATCCACCCTAACTCCAGTCAATAAATCAAGTTAACATGCATTAAGAGCAACACATATGTCTTGGTGACTTGAGCCTAGACCACAAGCCCTTTAATTGATGAGAGATGATCTCAAAAGTAATATCTTCTCTTGAAGAATATTTGAAGATGATAAGACTTGAAGTATCACGAGAACTTACTTGTCATGACATTCAACTGAATCCTCAATTGGAATGCAATAACTGAGAAAACCCTAACTTTTATCACACATAGGGAAATCAACCCTAATAGCCTCGTAGCTTGGTGAAAGAGGAAGTTTTCGATGACCATGAACGCGTGATTATAGCTTAAATCCAAATATTGTTGAAGAAACCAATTAAACCAACCTTGTGCAAAGGTGAGAGCCTCAAAGCATAAAGAAAACCCAAAACCTCAAAGTCCCTTGATCCCCTACCAAGTTTATTGATTAATTATGCATGATGTTGTTAAATGGCCTAATGGATGGTATGTATACAATGATTACGAGTTGCATAAGCCAGATGTTTCTTGATAGAAATGTAGGACAAATTTGGGGTATTACAGCTTCCCCTATTTAATCATCTTAAACCTGAAAGTACGATTGATGCGTGCCTTTTGGATGTTTTAGGTAGAAGATAATTAAATACCAATGCCAAAAATTTGTTCTAGGAGAAAACGTGGATGTTATTATTTTTGTGATATCTGGCGGGAAAAGAAAATGTTGGTTTTTCCTTGGTAAAATAATTCATGGATGAACCTGGAAAGTGATTGCTCGTAACATGGAAATGGTGCCTAAACCTGGTTTAGAAACCGACACGAAAAATGCTTGAAAACCGAAATGACGAGTGTTTAGAAGTTGATGAAGACGAGTGCTTAGAAACTGACATGACGAATGTTGGAAGATGTAACGGCAAGTGTTTAGAAGTTGACACGACAAGTGTTTAGAAGATGGCACAACGAGTGTTTAGAAGTTAACACGACGAGTGTTTGGAATTTAATGCGACGAGTGTTTGGAAGCCGACACGACGAGTGAAGGTAAATGACACGATGAGCGTTTGAAGATAACACGATGAGCGCTGGAGGAAAGACTCCACCGAGGATTCGTGACAGATTAACACAAATGCGTGTTCGAAACAATATTGAAAAGTATCGAAGAACAATACAAACGAGTATCAAAGAAACGTTAAACATGGACGAGTATTTGAATCAATACAGATGAGCATTAAAAGAAGATATGGACGAGTATCAAAGAAAGGTTAAACACAGACGAGTGTTTGAATCAATATAGACGAGTATCGAAAGAAGATACGGACGAGTATCAAATAAAGGTTAAACACAGACGAGTGTTTGAATCAATACGGACGAGTATAGAAAGAAGGTATGGAAGAGTATCAAAGAAAGGTTAAACACAAATAAGTGTTTGAATCAATACAGACGAGTATCAAAAGAAGGTACGGGCAAGTATCAAGAAAATGATTACACGGACGAGTGTTTGAATCAATATAGATGAGTATCGAAAGAAGATAGAACGAGTATCCAAGAAAGGTTTAACAAGGATGAGTGTTTTAATCAATACGGATGAGTATCGAATGAAGATACGGATGAGTATCAAGAAAATGATTACACAGACGAGTGTTTGCATTAACACAGACGAGTATCAAAAGAAGATACGGACGAGTATCAAGAAAATGATTACACGGAAGAGTGTTTGCATCAATATAGACGAGTATCAAAAGAAGATACGAACAATTATCCAAGAAAGGTTTAACACGGACGGGTGTTTAAATCAATACGGACGAGTATCGAAAGAAGATACGGACGAGTATCAAAAGAAGATACGAACGAGTATCCAAGAAAGGTTTAACACGGACAAGTGCTTAGAAGTACAAGGTACTGATACCATTAGCTAGGTATCGTGATGTAACGAAGGACGTCAGCTGAAGGTTTGGGAATGATATCCTCTTGCGGGGATGTATTGTTGTCTTTGAATGATTCATGCCTTTCGTGTAAGGTACCCGATCCAGCTTATGCTTCGTATACATGTTTGAATTTCTTTTTCCACAAAGATCTGTTCTGATGGATCGAATATGCGCTTTTGAAGATGCAATGTTATGCAGTGATAAATATATGCAATGCAAAGAAATAGACTTAATGGGGATAAGCGAAGGCTCGTTGAGAACTGTTGCTCATCACCGGGGATGCTAATACATATCAGTGCTGGAAACTTGCAGTACCAAAGATCGATGGGGATACTGATAAGAATTTACACTTGGGAGCTTATGATACCAAAAATTATTGATGACTCCGCTGAAGATTGGATTGCTGACGAATCGAGTTTTCAAGTAAGCCACTGAACTCTGAATTGTATTGTCGAGGAAGTCATAATCTGGCCCAAATTGTATGGTAAGACTGAATATGTCGAGGAATGAATATTGAACACCATGTGGATCTCTTCGAATACACGCCTCACGTTTATGCCACGCTGGGGAATTACCTCTTAAATCGCTTGGGGATAAAAAGATGGACATGGGCACCTATGAATGCCTCAGTTTACTCCAGTAGAGAAAGTCTATAGGACAATTTTTCAGAGATCATATGTTGAACCATACAAAATACCTCGAATCCCCCAAGTTTACTCTACTAGGGAATTACCTCTTAAATCCCTGGGGGATAAAAAGAGGGACATGGGCACCTGCGAATGCCTCAGTTTAGCTTTGTGAATGCCCCGGTTTAGCTTTGTGAATGCCTCAGTTTAGCTCTCGGGAAATGTGCACTTGTGCGTGACAAGTCAAACGACGACTTCGGACTTTCAGAATTCACTTGGGGAATCGGGTTTGAAAGTGACTGTAGCAGGTAAAGGCGGCTTCATGTGCTGGCTAGGTCAGGGTGGTTGTTATCAGTTGCTACCTGCAAAGAAAAACAACGCTTAGAATGCAACGACATTCCCTCATGTTTATCATCAACATAAATTCAAGTTTTATCTTAGCTTGGAAGTTTTTATTCCCCCCCCCCCCCCCCCCCCCCCATGTTTCTAATGCAATGTTTAATAACGAATAAAATACACTTTGCATACGAAAAACATTTTGTGATAATAAAAGACAGTGTTTTGATGAAAACAAACTTTATTGATTGACAATTGGCCTATAAACAGGCATTTGTACAAGGATGCAACTCTTATGTGAGGTAGTTGAGAAGAAAGAAATGAAAAATACAATAGGTACAAATGGCAATGAGAGATGCTCAAATTTCCATTAAAATCGATATTGCTACAGTTCCCATATCCTTAGTAGTCTCAATGCCTTGTCTATGAAGAGTAGAAGTTGGACCGATCAATTCAACGCCAAGGTAATATAGATGTGCATGTGTTATTCCTGAAGAGAATCCAGACTACAGCCTCTCATTTATGATCCCTAACTTTTTCTTGGACTGCCCTTTCGGGTTTTCGACCCAACGGGATACCCATTTTTATCTAAGTCGCCCTTTCAGGTTCTCGACTTAGCGGGTTATTATTATTTTTCAATTTATCTCTAATTTTTGCCTGGACTTTCTTTTCATGTCCACCGGGATGCCCATTTTTTCCTAAGTCACCCTTGCGGGTTCGACTTAGTGGGTCTCTTTATGCGTAGTATTTTTTACTGAGTCTGAATTGACTAGAAGTGGAAAGTATTCCCCATCCATGTCTGTCAGGATTAGAGAACCTCTTGAAAAGGCTCTATTCACGTTATATGGTCCCTCATAGTTGGGAGTCCATTTTCCCCTTGGATCGGAATGACTTTGCATGATAACCTTTCTCAAGACCAGATCACCAGGATATAACTTTTGAGGACGGATCTTCTTTCCAAATTCTCTTTTCATCCTCTGTTGGTACAACTGACCATGACAGATGGATGCCAGGAGTTTTTCGTCAATCAAATTGAGCTGGTCAAGTCTTGTCTGAACCCACTCCGCCTCATCAAGATTGGTTTCCATCAGAACCCTTAACGAAGGAATCTCCACTTCAACGGGAAGCACTGCGTTTGTACCATAGACAAGAGAAAATGGGGTTGCTCATGTTGAAGTACGCACAAACATTTTGTATCCATATAGAGCAAAAGGAAACATTTCATGCCAATCTTTGTACGTTCTAACCATCTTCTAGACGATCTTCTTTATGTTCTTGTTAGCAGCTTCGACTACACAATTCATCTTTGGTCGATACGGCGATGAATTGTGATGTTCAATTTTGAACTCTTCACATAAATCCTTCATCAAGTTTTTGTTAAGATTAGAATCATTATCAGTGATGATTCTGTGAGGAGTTCCATAATGACATATGCTTTCCTTCCTGATGAAGTTGGTGATGACCTGTTTGGTTACATTCTTGTAAGAAGTTGCTTCCACCCATTTGGTGAAATAGTCAATAGCCACGAGAATGAACCTATGACCATTTGAAGCGCTCGGTTCAATTATTCCAAGCATGTCAATACCCCATATTGCAAACGGACATGGTGAAGTTATAACATTCAAAGGAGTTGGAGGAACATGGATTCTATTCACATACATATGGCATTTGTGGCACAACTTT